ATCCTTTGAGGCTCCTACAGATCCCAATCTCACATTTCTAATTTGGTGATATTGATACCAAGCTCTGATACTACTTCAGAGCTCATCAAAACACCTCATATTTAACAAAACTCTTCTCTCTGGTTCATAGAAAAACATTGCATCATCAACAAAAAACAGGTGAATAATCTTCTCAGTCTGAACCCCCAATCCCCTCTAAATAGTTCACATTCCCTATCTCTTATTATCATACAGTTGCCATCTTAGCAACGAAAATTGAGATGTTGATAAGGAATTCAAATGATTAGGAAGCGCAGAATTATGTGAGGTTTCTTAATGCACTTCCCTAGGCAATGATCTCGAGCAAAGTAAGGATGAACCTATCTAGAGTCTAAGTTATGAAGGACTCTTCTCGGTCAAATCATATGACCTTTTACTAGCAAAGAAGCGGAGAACGAGAGGTTTCCTTGGAAGTTAATGTGGAAGGTGAAAGTAGCTCCTAGGGTGTTAATTTTTGCTTGAGAAGCAATTTGAGAACACATACTCACTTTAGATAAGTTAATTAAGAGAGGCAAAATTTTGATGAATAGGTGCTATTTGTGAAAAAAAAAAATGGAGTTGAGACATGCAATTGCAATTTCCTCTAGTGCCCACTAGCACATCACCTATGGTTATTGGCTTATAGCCTTTTATGTCTGAGATGGGCTATAGCAGGCACCGTGAGAGAGAAGCTTTGGACATGGAGAAGCATCCCAACTCATAAGGAAGAGGAAGTTTTTGAGGGAAATAGTTGGCAACTTTGGTAGAATTAAAGACTCTTGGTTCTAAATTCTGATTTGTTTTATTAAAAGTCAACTTCCACATTCAAGTGAAGATTAGGAGGATCCTATTGATTTCTTGTTAGACTAGTAAGTTCTTTTGTACATGAGTTTGCGCCCCTTTGATGCGTTGTAAATATACACATATTTCTTATTTAAAAAAGAAATTATCAAATCTAATATCAATAAAACTATTTTAACAAGCACACAGGTAAATTAAAGTTGTTGATTATTATATTTTATTAGTTAATTATTTTATTTTATTATTTAATTACTTAGTATTAAGTAATTAGAATTCTATGATAATAATAATCTCATAAAATTAGATGTTTAATAAAATAAAAAATTTTCTATCAGTAAGACAAGAATTCTATAAATACTCCAAATGTAACAACTTAAAGGGAGGGAAATAAAATTATTATTTTTTCTTCAAAAATCAACATGATACCAAAGCCAAATAGTTATTTTAGGGTTTTAGGATTTTCTTGAAATGCTAAAATAGCACAATATGTTATGTTAGAATTCACTTATTTAGATCTATACACATTACCACCCTAGAGAGCCAAATCTGAGAGAGAGAGAGAGAGAGAGAACCAAAGAAAAACATATCTGGTTCTTTTCCTTTCATCTCGACCATCATCTGAAAACAGAGACAATGGTGGCGGCTTCCCAGCATACGAAACGTTTCAGCGCGACTAGATTTGTACGTTGGGACGGAGAAAGACGAGTCGTGCATGATCTGTACCAGCAAAAACAGATTGGTGCACGCGGCGAACTAGTCTGGAGGAAGAAGATGAATTGCGCAATTTGCCAGTACAGCAGCATTGCTATGATGCTATTTTTTACTAGACCTGCATGAGGACAGTCAGAGAGAGCCTAGACGAAGTTATCTATGCGTGAAACCATTGCTGGAGAGAGAAAAGGCGCGCTGAAGAAGAAGACCCAACCATGGCGGTCCACTTCGCGCGAAGGCAGAATCGACACGTTTTTGGCGCAATTTCATTAGATTTGTGCCGGATCTGGGCAGAAGCAGACTTCTATGCTGATTTTTGGCGATTTCTCGGTGGCGCATGACAGCTTCCGGCAGCGGATCGTGGCAGTTTCCAGTGGCAGCACATGGTGGTCTAGTCATTTGGCATCTAGTGGCATGTGAGAGCTCGTATGGTACTCCGGTGGAGCCCGAGCCGTTTTAGAGTCGAGTCAAGTTGTTTTTGAGCCTAGTCCGAGCCATTTTGAGATGAGTCAAACTGTTTTGAGCCAAGGCAAGCCATTTTCAGCCGAACAAGCCATTTTCAGCCGAACAAGCCATTTTGAGCGAATTGAGCCATTTTGAGTCAAGAAGAGTGGAACTGCTGCCTGACAGATCCAGTTTCAGTTTGCAACATTTTTGTTGGCATCTTTTGACACTTGTAAACTGCAGGATGACTCTTCAGAACTTATTTCACAAGTTAGGTATGTGCGATATCCCTGCACCAACTTGAGGGAAAGTGTTGACCATCATATTTTATTAGTTAATTATTTTAATTTAATATTTAATTATTTGGTATTATATAATTAGAATTTTATGAGAATAATAATCTCATACAATTAGAAATCTAATAGAATAAAAATTTATTTATCAGTAAGATAAAAATCCTATAAATACTCTAAATATAACAACCTAAAATGTGAGAAATAAAATTATTATTTTTTCTTCAAAAATCAACAAAACCCAACTAGAATTCTTATTTTAGAATGAGCTACGAGCCACTATGAGTCTAATATATGTGTTTATAACATATGCCAATAAATAGATCTGATTATCCTTGTGACCCATTCTGTAACTCAACCAAATAAGCCTTTTTTACTCTACAATAATAGGTGAATGTCACGTCAACTCTAATTTTTAGAAAATTATAGACATACTTTTTTATCATCTAAATCTATTAATGGAAAAGACAGTTTTTTTTATAAATAGAACATAGATAAACATAATGTTCTTGTTGATGGTAGGTATCCCTATCCAATAATTATATATCTCCAATTATTCAGGAGAACATAAATTTGATAGGCCAATAATTCCATATAGAAAAATTTGGATTGAAGAATTCTAAATTTTTTCTTCAAGAAAAGGTCAATGTTCAGTTCTACACTAGTACCGATACTAAAAGTAACATTAAGAGAGTTAATATTATCAAATATTTGATCAAACTAATTAGAAGGATCTTTTTTTATTTCGCAATTCAGCAGGATGAAGAAATCAAACCCTCATCCAAAAAGCTCCTTTTTTCATTGGATGGGAA